GTTCCTGTTTTTCCCTCCAGGTGTAAGAACAACATCGTCGGGCGTCAGTGTGACCGCTGCGCCCCTGGTTTCTATGGTTACCCCAACTGCAGGCCATGTGACTGCAACGAGGCGGGAACCGAGGAGGAAGTGTGTGACTCCTTCACAGGACAGTGTCTGTGCAAGGTGGGACACACACACACACACACACACATGAACACACACATGAACACACACATGAACACACACATGAACACACACGTCCTCACCTGCTGTGTGTCCTCCACCTGTAGGAGAACGTCCAGGGTCCTCGCTGTGATCAGTGCAGGGTTGGTACGTTCCACTTGGACCCGACGAACCCGAAAGGCTGCACCAGCTGCTTCTGCTTCGGAGCCACGGACCGATGCCGCAGCTCAGACAAGAGACGCACTGAGGTCAGAAGTAGTGTTGGCTCGATGATGTCGTTACAGTGTGCGCACCACAACACATCGGTCGGTGAGTCCTGCTGGAGCTTTGCCCTCGTTCACTCGTTCATCTGCTGCAGATCATGGACATGGTGGGCTGGGTGCTGCTGGGAGCCGACAGACAGGAGGTACCGGTGGTGGTGTATCCCGGCCAGGACCTGGTGGAGGCCGACCTCAGCGACGTACCCGACGTCTACCAGGATCTCCACTGGCACGCACCAAAGACTTACCTGGGAGACAAGGTGAGACCTTCACAGGTGGAGACGGTAAATCTGTTCAGGGCTCAGGGTTAACTTCCAGATCCACAAACATTCACACATTCAAAGTTGAGCCTGAACGAAAGTCTTCAGGAGTTTTATCAAACATCTGCACAAACAGACGAGAGGTTTGATCCCAGAGGATGTTTGGTCTCATCCTGTTTCGCTTCACAAACCGACTTCAGATGTCGTCTCTGCCAAAACCCGCATCGGCACAGAAATGTAGATATTTGATGTTTTCGCAGAGAAGAACTGAGACTCTGAATATTGTTGTTGTCTGGATGATGAGATTAAACTGTCCTGAGGTCAGTGTTTGTTCTAAACCTCAATGTTCTGTTGCTCTGAGCTGAAACTGGAGAAGTGACCTGGACTCAGTCCACAGAACCTGAGCTGGAGAAAAGTTCTTATGTTTATTCACATTTGATTCATATTGAACGTATGAAACTAAATCCAACACGACACTTTATCAGACCCTGAACATCGTGTGACGCTCTTACATCTGAACCCTCCGTCCTCCAGGTCTCGTCCTACGGAGGTTTCCTCAGGTATCGTCTCCACACTCAGACCATGAGAGGGGACGTGTTGTCTCTGCCGGTAGAATCCTCCAGACCTGACATCATCCTCAAGGTACACACTCACACACACACACACACACACACACCTGCATCGTATCACTGTAACCCAGTATCAAGATGAAACAGATCCTGTCTGTGTTATAAATAAGTTTGTGTGTGTGTGTGTGTGTGTGTGTGTGTGTGTGTGTGTGTGTGTGCTCGTCCACAGGGGAACCAGATGAGCCTGGTGTTCATGGAGAGAGAGTACTCTTCACCTGAGGAGCCTCACCTGGGAATCGTTCACATGGTCGAGGTAATGTCATGTGACTTTAACCTCTCCACTGCCACCTACTGCTGATGTGAGACATTACACAGTACAGACGTTGATCCTGAGTAATAATCTTCCTCCTCCTCCTCCTCCTCCTCCTCACAGGGAAGTTTCCGTCACGCTCAGACTGGGAACTCTGTGTCTCGGGAGGAGCTGATGATGGTTCTGGTCGGTCTGGAGTCGCTGCAGGTCCGAGCCATCCACTCCCAGTCGGCTCACTCCGTGTCGCTGCGCGGCGCCGTGCTGGAGGGCGCTGAGAGCCTGCCCACCGGTCGCCATGCCAACAACGTGGAGATCTGCATGTGTCCAGCCAACTACCTGGGAGACTCGTGTCAGGTGAGCGGCTCAGATCCAGTTAGTTCTGGATCCAGGAGAAGTTTGTGATCAAAGAATCACGTTAACAAGTTCAATGAATTAAAGTTTGAAGTCGTCACATTCAGAGTTGAAATGTTTCTCTGTGTTCTGATGCTGACATGAGTCGATGAATCGTTAGAGTCGGTGACGGCAGCTGTTTCCTCTCCTCCCTGCAGAAATGTGCTCCAGGTTTCTACAGAGACACCATCGGCCTGTTCCTGGGGAAGTGTGTCCCCTGTAACTGCAACGGACACTCGGACCGGTGTCTGGACGGATCTGGAGTCTGTGAGGTGAGAATCATCCCGAGCGAACTTTGGTTCTGTTTTTAAAAACGGATGAGTCACCGTCCGGTCTTCTGTCCGTCCCTCAGGACTGTCGACACAACACGGCGGGCGACCACTGTGAGAAGTGTCAGGGCGGTTTCCTTGGCAACAATAGCGTAGACGGACAGGCGGTGTCCTGCTCCAGCTGTCCCTGTCCACTGAGGGTCTCGTCCAACAAGTCAGTTCTGTTTACTCTCGTGGTTTCTTCCATTCTCACCTCGTGATTATCTGTTCAAACCTCCTACTGTGTGTGTGTGTGTGTGTGTGTGTGTGTGTGTGTGTGTGTGTGTGTGTGTGTGTGTGTAGTTTTGCGAAGGGCTGTGTGCAGAAGGGCGACAGGATGCAGTGTCTGTGTGAGCCGGGTTACGCAGGACCAAACTGTGAAAGGTAAAAGACCTCGTCAGCACAGTTTTATCCTTTTTATAAAACTTTGAATTTTTCACAAACATCTTTCGCTTCGTAATTTGACCTCCTC